TAATGGTTGACTTGCAATTCATGATTAAAATATCTTCAAAACAAGATGACGCTTTTTGGAATAGGTCTTCATCCTTGAAAGAAGATTTATAAGAAGATTTAGATTTTACAAGACCAAGTAGGTAACTTATCAAGAAGATAATTGTGATAATAATTGTGTAATAGTTTTTCATTGTATTATGATTTCAAAAAACGATTGAATTGTGAGGAATTGATTCTATTCATGCAATTAAATACAAAATTGAATTACACAAGATGCAAGTATGTAATGATGAAAACATGTTGTTCGTCCTCCTGTTATTCAAAATATTCAAAATATTCAGAATCATTCTATTGCTCAGAATCATGAAGACGATGAAATTTACTTTCGCTTAACACTTTGCCCTGTTGATGAAATGTCCAATACTCAATTGAGAGAAGAACTTATCACTCTTCGCAATGGTGTCCTTCAACTTCGCAAAAGAATTGATTCCCTCACTGAAGAGAAATCGACTCGTCGTTCTGAAGAACTTGCTCGCAAATGTCGTCGTCTTCGTGCCCAATTAGAATTATCTGATAAAGGAGATGGTGATATCAAGAGAATATTGTACGTATTATTGTTTTGCATTGTATTCTTGCTTTATCTCATCTTCTTTACTGATTTAATTCTTCCTTTTTTAGTAACTTCTGAGTTTTTGTTATCTTCGCATTACATATTTTCATCATTATATACTTGCATCTTGTGTAATTCAATTTTGTATTTAATTGCACAAATAAAATCAATTTCTCACCATTCAATTACTTCCTGAAATCTCAATACAATGAAAAACTATTACACAATTATTATTACAATTATCTTTTTGATAAGTTACCTACTTGGTCTTGTAAAATCTAAATCTTCTTATAAATCTTCTTTCAAAAATGAAGACTTATTTCAAAAAGCGTCATCTTGTTTTGAAGATATTTTAATCATGAATTGCAAGTCAACCATTAAACTTGGTTGGAAGTTTTCCATGATATCTCCAAACATATGTTCAAAAACTTTGTTTATAACAATGCCTCTACTTATTATAAACGGTTTTATACTTTTTGCTTTATTAGATTTTTACATCTGATATTTTATAATATCTACCTATCCTGAAAGATTTATTTATTAGTTATATTGGTATTTCGATTATTTCGATTGCAAGTTTCTATTATCAATTCATTTCAAAATATTTATACAAAACTATTGTTTTTAGCCAATTTTCTAAATTATATCAGCTGTTTCATTGTCACCTACAAATTATGTATTTCGATAGACTATAATAATTTGCTTTTTAAGGCTTTTCTTCGCGTTAGTTTATCGTTGTCTTCTTCTTTCTTGAATCTTTTATCTTCATTCTTGTTTTGGCTTCTCTCTTTCACCATATCGGATTTTTCTAACGCAGATATTCTTCTTCTCCTTGAATTTTCTTGGTACTTCTTCAAGTTTTTTAGAATTGGATTTCTCTATCTTTTGTTTTCTTTCGGTTCTCCTTTTCCTTCTTCGTGGTTTTAAATCTTCTTTCACATTTGAAGTCATAACTTCTTTATAATTCATCACTTCGTTCTTCAGTTGGTCTTGTAAAATTCTTGTGTGTTTTTCCTTTTTAGGTTTTCTTTTATAAAAATGTATACTTTATTCTTTAAATATTGGTTTTTAGATAGTATATTATTAATAAAGATTGTTATTTCTGTTATTTTAACTTTAGTTTGATAAAGTGGTATTGTTAAGTTTCTTAATGAATTTTCAAGTTTTCTTTGATAATTCTTCCTTGTTTACATTTTTGTCTTTAACTTGCGTGAATAAAATTTTAAATCTCGTGTGACTTCATCATCTTATATTCTTATTTCTATTGGCTATTTATTGCTAATCAAGTGATGTCGTCAGTTTGTTTTGATTTTTATTTTATCCAATGAAATTTCAGTGATCGTCAAAGGTTCTTTTGCGCTTCTCTAAATTGATTGGCGAAGATCAATTTTTACTTTACTCTTACTGTGCGATGTTCATTCACAAATCTGTTCCATACAAATCAAAGGTTTCAATATTTTCTACAATCCTGTGGAGTCAGATTTTATATTTTCTAGAACTTATTGTTTTAATATCTAACCTGAAATTTCTTTCGGATCGATTGGTAATTATTCACTTTTTCTTCTAATTCTTTAGTAAAGTGTTTATTCCTAATTTCTCTTAGTAGAACTCAAAGATCATTGTTATCACAAACTTTCTATGGTAAAAGATTTTACATTTCCTGCAAACATTAACAATTTTACTTATAACATTCTTACCTCTATGATCTCATCACGATTCTCTTAGCCTGATCTTCCCTGATCCTATAAGAAATCTATGAATCATCATACCAGATACTAATGCCATCAAATTCTTCATAAACATTTCTTCATTCCCAGCACAATTTACTTTGATAAATTCCACAAATCTAAAATCTTTTACTTGAGATTTCTAAAATCTTCTTACGGTTCTATTGATGATCTTCCAATTTTTCCAAAAGAAATTAAGAATTTTTGATCCAAATCCTCCCTCTGTTTTTTAATAAAATTTCTAATTTTCAGTTCAGTTTTTTTTATTCTCCAAGGATTTTTTACTGTTCAAATATTACTTCAATATTTTTAGAATTTTTCTTGATTTTTGTTGCGAGAGTTTTCCTTTGATTTTTGAAATTTCAAGAATTCTATTTGAATATTATATTTTCAATTTTCTTTTCTTCATCCAGAATTATTTTCAAAAATTATTTCTAATAATTTTCCAGAGAAACTTCAAGGGTTTCCCCTAAGATATCATAATGATTGTTCAGAGAAAATGCAAGAGTTTCTCTTACAAATTCATTATTTTCTTAAAGATTTCTTCTTATGAAGCCATAGGTAAAAGATATCATTAAGATCCTTTGAACCTTCCCTTGAGATCCCAAAAGTCTAAAGGTGAAAAGGTTGGAAAAGCTAGGCTCAAAAGTTTGCCAACCAGGTTCCATATGAAGGCCTTTTAAGTCTTTCCAAATCTTGATTTTTTATGTTGATTATTTTAATTATTTATATTTCTTATTCTAATTCTATTTATTGTTACTGTAGTTATTTATATTTTTATTTATCAATTCATTCCAGAACTTTCTTAAAATACTAATTTATATTATTGAATATTTTTCTTCAATTGTTTACAATATTCTTACTTTAATTTCCATTATTTATTATATTTTTATATTATTTTCTTTAATAATTTATATTATTTTCTTACTAATTTTCTGATTGGTTCCCATTTGTTTACTGTTTGTTTACTTGATTACATCATTTATTTGTTGTCTATGATGTCATTGTTTACCTTTCTCTAGAACTTTCCAGGTCTTTTCTTTTTGGTGATCCTTTACTTAAAGGCTTGTTATTCTTCTAAAGTTTTATTAATTTTTACAGATCTACAAACCTACTTCCATTTTTGGAATTGTTGTTTCAAGGGTTCCCCTGTTCTTCTAGAGTCCATCCTGATTGGTTAAAGTTTTCAGTGGTTTTTATTGGTTGAATTTTTCAGGTTTTGAATTTTTCTCCTAAGATCTTGCTATAGAAAAGCTATTTCTTTTATAATTTTTAAGGTTGCGCAAGTAGCTGCGGAATTTCTTTTTTGGGAGTTTTAACCAGAATCTTCTTTAACATGCCAGGGTCTTCTTGATCCAGCTAGTATTTTCCAGTTCTTTGTCATTTTTGTCCTTGCGTAACATCATTATTCTAGAATGTCCCAGTTCTATTATTACCCTAGTAATTATCATAATAAAGTTTCTTATAATATTTATTATAAGGTGACACCCTGAGAAGTTGTAAATCTGATTCATATGTAATTTTTTCCATTAATTCTATTATTGAATTATCCCTTTTAGTTATTCCTAAATTCTTCTTCATATCTTGTTTTCTTACTGCTTGTTCTACTATTTTAAATAAGAGTTTCTCATGAGAAGTTTTACAATTTTCTATTCTTGTTTTTACTTTAACAACCTTACTTCTTATTTTTCTTCCTATTTTAATCATTAATTTTTGTTCTTGTAATATTTGTTTTATGATGGATGATTCTTCTTTTGATAAAAGAATTTCTTCTATTTTCCAGCTAAGAATTTTTAATATTAGCTGTTCTGAATTTTCTTTTTCTTTTATTATTATAGATATTTCATTTTCTTCTATTTTTTCATATATTGTTTCTTTTTTAAAGAGTTTTGTTATTTTCTTTATAATATTTCTGTGAATCTCACTCTCTATTGTTAGAGTAGCTTCTGTAATATTCTTTCCAGCTTCTCTAAATAATTCTCCTTCTTCTTTTCTTATGATTTCCATGTATTGTTTTCTTGAAATTACTTTGTCAAAGTAAACAGGGTATTTCTTAATAAAGAAATCTTCCTCTTTGTTATGTTTTCTTTTTGTAATCATTACTTGTATTTTGTAGGGTTCATCCAGTCCCTTCTCTTCGTGCAATGACAATATTAATTCATATGCATTGCTTATTATATTGTGCTTTATTCTTATTCCCACAATTTTCTCTTGTTGTATTCCATAAATCCATTGGGTTATCTTTTGTTGTCTTTTATCCTTCAAATTTATAAAAGTTCTATTTATTGTTTCCTTCGTAAGACTATTTATTTCTTCTTTAGTTATCAAAATACATTCTTCTTCCATTTCTTGGAGGATTGCTTTTCCTTCATAATATTCACTTATCAAAATCTGTTCCTTGATCTTCTTGTGTTGACAATGTTCGATTAGCTCTAAGCAAGCATAATCTCCCCTTTCATCATAAGGATGATGTAATTTTCTAAAATGTTCATTCGGTTTCTTCTTAAAAATTATTTCATAATAGTAATGATTTAATTTTCCAAAATCCTTTAATGTTTCTTCCTCATATGCTTCTGCCATATTCACTGATTTTTCTTGAATTTTTCAGATTTTTGTTCTTGATTTTTTGTGAGATATAGTTTGTCTCATTATTCTTTTTATAATTTTTCCAAAATTTTCTGCTCCTAACTGTATATAAACAACACCTGTCTCCACTGCAATATCCATACAAAAACCACTTACCACCTTTGACTATACAATCAAGCTCTACCAACAATCAAAAAATTTTAAATGACACTTAAATACTTCTTAACAAAAAATTCAAAAACAACAAAAACTTTAACTCTAATCAAATTCTATCAACTATTAACTCTGCAATTTACTTAATCAACTTTGCAACAGATACACTTCAATTTAAAAATCTTTTCAACAATTTGAAACCAAATCAACGGAACCTAAAAACTCTAAACCAAATTCAAACTGAAACTTTTGAATTTATTTACCAACACATATGAATCCCAAGAAACAAAGATATAATCGAGAAGAAAAATTTCTTGACATCTCACAAAATATCAAATATAAAAAAAACAACAACAAAAACAACAATAACAATAACTTACAATATCGACAAAACCCAACTATCAACTCGACAAACAATAACAAATCAATCCAACAAACTGAACTTACCAACATAATATTCAAACTTTTCTCTTAAAATCTGTTCATGCCTTTTCAGGATAGAATAAATTATTAAGAAGACATTAGCTCTCCAAAATTAGATAGTTACTTTTTTTTTTCTTGCTCAAAGATTTTTTATCAGAAATATATTTAATATGGTGGTAGGCTGACATGTATAGTAATATATCTCAATATCTTAATATTAATCATATAATAAATTTTACTCTATTAATAAAGATTATAAGAAATGCAATATTTTGTTATCTTTAATTATATAAAGAATATCTTGATTATTATATTATAACAACTGTCATTATTTTGCAAAAGTGCTTAATTCAAGGTTGTATCCTTTTATTTCTAGGTATTGGTATAATTGAAGATGGCTTCAAGTATAAACTATTTTTTTAAGTTTAAAAATTTTTTTTTTATAACTCTTATGAATTTAAAATAAATTTTAATAAAGTTTTTAATGTTTTAATAAATATAGACTTCTGTATTATATTTTCTTTTTCTTGTTACCTTCTCAATTTCTATTTTTTTGAACAATTTTACTTCGATTATCCCATAACTTATGTATAATTTGAATCCATTTTCTACAAATATTAACTGGAACTGTTTCTATGTATTAACAGTTAACAATTTTTTTTTGTTATATAGATGCTTATAAAAAATATAGCAATATGATAATAAATACTGATAAAAAAATAAACAATGACAATTAAGAGACATAAGACTAGTTATGCTTTTATCTTTTTCTATTATTTTTTTTAACAGCTTAAGTTTCGTTAATTATTATTTGTTAAATACAGAGGATACTCATATTATTGTGAACACTTTTTATTATATAATAAAATAAATTAATAAGCAAAAAAATTTTTTATTATACTAAGTAAATATTTTTATAATATGTTAAAGTATATTATATTAAAATTTCATGTGATTGTAATGATTTACTTGGAATTTATAATCAAAAAACCTTCATACTATGAATTATGATCAAACTGAAATTACAAATTGAACGAAAATCTTTTTTTAAAAAAAAAACTT